TCGACTCTTTTTTCTTCTTAATGCCGGATATGTCTTGGTGACACACCTAATTATTTAAAAATAAGCAAGTTCTTTAAAGCGCGTATTCTTGTCATATTCTTAGCCCCTGCATAAAATGCGTGAGGTCCGGCAACCATAAGATTGATTGGGACTTTTTATTGAAATTACATGAAAAACAATTTGTATTTTTCTTGTTATGTGGTGATGTGAATTGTACCTTGTTCATCTTCGTCCAGAATTCTCTCAACACACAGCCAGTCGAGTAGATTTTCTTTTTGATCACCGAAATACCAATGTGTGATGTCATCCTCGTGGATCTCCAGCATGTGAATACACTATGAAATGAACACTAAAATTAGCTTCACTGTTTTAAGTGAGGTTAGAAATCATCAGCCGCTCGAAAGACGTAGAGGTCGAAAGCTAACTATCCGCACTGAACTGGAAAACGAGCGTTGAAACCCACTCAAAGAAGTATGGCCTCTTGAAGGAGCGCAATCACGGTATTTTAAGTTATTTCGGCCACGTACAAAATTAGCTTTAAATTAAAGGTAACCAGAAAATAGTAGTTTACTAAGATAAAAAAAAAAACAACAAAGAAATAATAATAAACCGAACTTGACAAATTTAGGCTGAATTTTTCAAAATGCGCAAGCAGTGACGTAGCTCCTTCGGTCCCAACTGTCTCATAGCTGTAGACGCTTATCCCGGTTTCAGTAAAATGACGCGGCTAGGAGTATTGTTACTTCCCCCTGAATGGGATGCTAGTATGACGCAGGCTACCCCTCAGCATTCTGTCATTTTGACCAAGCAATTCGCCAGGCGGGACTCATTTACATGCCTGGGTGGAGAGAGACACGATGAGAGCAAATTGTCCTGCCAAAAACCACAACGTAATGACTCCGGCNTCGATAAGGCACCGGCTACTTACAAAGCATATACTTTTACATAAATCTAAGTTCTTAGTTACCTTGAATTTTAGTCGGCCCATTTCGTAAGTGTAGTCTTCGACGACCTCGTCTGGCAGCTCATAGTTAAGTTTTACTTTGGATTTCGCTGCCATATCGTCCAATACTTCACGAAGTTGACTCTTAGCTGAAAGGTAAAGGGAAGGTTTTAAGTTTCCTCTCTTGAAAAGTATTCTTCAGTTTACAGGTTCTTCAATTTTAATTTTACCCACTTTTAGCCATCTTTGTTTCTTTTTGTTTTGTTGTCAACTCTTTAGTGCTTTCTCCCTAATGATAGAGCAATCACTTTTTATATAATAAGTCAAATCATTCTCGCATTTTGATTGGTGAATGGAGTATTGATTACTTCATAAGCATTTTTTTGTACGCGCTTTTATACCACTCTTTTGTTCTCACCACATTTTCACGTCATCTATGATCTTTTACTGAACAGACGCACAGAAACATGGAATCTATTTGTTAAATACCATATACCGGCAAAGTCTAATATTTCCTCCCCAGTTGTCTACAGTGGATAAGTGTTGACAAGCCAAATACGCAATTAGATGATGGAAAGTGAATAACGCTGTCCACCATTTAAACAACGAAGTAATGTCCTTCGCACAAGGCTGTGAATTTAGCATTTAACTCTACGAACCTCCTTTGATGTAGGGGAATTCGGGTCCAGGCCTTGCGCGGTAGAGTTTCATTCTCTCGCACAAGTTGTCCAGGACATCCATAAGACGTAGTTCCCTTGAAAATAAAACATGAAATCGAGAATTAAGAATGAATATAGAAATACCGAAAAAAGTCTGCGCTTTTAATTTTTCAAGCTTCAATATGCTTCCTACGATCATGAAGGGAGACAATAAAAAACGTCTTAGGTGCGAACTTCCACCAGGAAGAACACGAAGCCAAGACTCTACGGTGCATAAGTACTTTTTCTGACCAGTTATCTAGCTAAGCAAGTGAAAAGTGAAACATAAGACATTTTGACTTATTCATCCATCCATAATCTGAAAGGCCCAAAAGCAGCTTTAGAGCATGTTGGAATCGTAAACTACATCATTTACTTAGTGAAAGAAACTACATCATTTACTTAGTGAAAGATCTACTTACGATTTTTCATAATGAATGCTCTTGTCAGGATTCTCCAGATCTTCAAGAGCATATCCTCGAGGTACATCNAAACTACATCATTTACTTAGTGAAAGAAACTACATCATTTACTTAGTGAAAGATCTACTTACGATTTTTCATAATGAATGCTCTTGTCAGGATTCTCCAGATCTTCAAGAGCATATCCTCGAGGTACATCTTCTCGACGATCCGTTTTCTTCATTTGCTCTAAAAACTCTGTCACCATAAGGCGGCATACTAAAAAAACAAGAGTGTAATAAAGTTGAACCTCCACTAACAGCCACCTCTCTACAACGGCCACTTTCGTCTGTCCCCAACGTGGCCGTCGTGGAGAGGTTCGATTGTAGTATTCTTAAATTTCGGTGCACTCTGACTGTGAACTGAATCAGGGATCAAAACTTGCAACATATACTTGAGTTTTCCCTTGACCTACCGTACCTCAGTTAATTAACCTGGATTCTAGTATTCTTTACACAGCAATCTTCAGACGGCTGTACGCAGGCTAGTTAGAAGACTCCGTGAAATTTTGACGTTTATGTAAAATTAATTGGTTGATGTTTAAAGCGACTGTTAATTTTTTTTTTTTTTTTTAGCTACTTGACTCAGAACTATTTTAAACGCCAAGTATCCAGTTCCCTGAAGTCGCTTATTTTAAAAGTCGCCTTTTAAAAACAGCGTTAACAACTGAAAATATATTTTCAGTTACAGCTCAAGAAAACTGTCACGGAACATCGAATAGGGTTTCAAATAAGCTCAGTGGAACCCGTAAGTTTTTGTAGAAACCAGGAGAGAGTAGAAACTCATCGGAACCTTAAGACAGGTGATTGCTATCCTGAGCGCTAAATATCAATGTGGCGCAAATATAGCTCTTGCCTGGAATGGAAATGGTTAAATTAGAGCAAGAGAAAATGAGTTCAGATTATGGTCTCTTGATTAAAGACAATGCAAACGTTCTTCCACTATCAAACGTCATTTTTGTATAATTTTTCTTCAGCAATAGCAAAAACTCACCCGACCAATTAACTTCACCACGACAATCGATAACAGAGCTATTCTTTAGTATGAAAATGCACAGATCAATTTATCCATGCGATTTTCTCCACGCAATAAAATTTTTTTCAGATTTTACAAAAGTGTTAGCAAGACCAAAAAATAGTACAGGAACCGGCGAGTGATCAGCTCGTATCACAAATCACAAATCAGCTGTTCCTTTCACCCTTTTACAGCTTAAGGATAAATCATGAATTATTACTTATGGTTACTTACCTTGGCATTTTGTAGGTCTTAAGCCGGCGGCCTGGTGAAACTTGGTAATGTACGGATTGATCTTTTTATCTTTATTAGGATCAGGTCCAACTTTGATCCTCTCTTCGCGGCAAAATACGATTGGTGTAATTACTAACAAATGTAAACTGGAAAAAACTAATAATATTCTTCCTAACTGCATGGTATAACGTAAAAATATGAATTTTTCCAGGCAGTTCCTATACTATTTTGTCGCTTTAGATCGCGTAAATTCTTATAAAAATATAATGATTATATTCGTTCTATACTTACAACCTTGTTTCTCAGTTGCAATGGTGATTATCTGTGACTCGGCAATTGGTTGCTCGAGGCGAGGTTCAGACCAAAACAGCAGCTAAACAAACACAACATTGCTTCTTTGTAATATTCATTTATTAATAAGATTTTTAGTCATTTTAGTCATAGGAGAGTAAATTAACAATTCTAAATAGGACGTGTTGAGTTCAACACGATTTCGGTAACATTTTAATGATGAAAACACCTGTTACACCAAATTTAGCTATAAAATAACATGAAAATGGTAATAACTTGAATTGTATACCGTGAAACAAAGAAAGTGTAGTGGAGCATAAAGATAAAAAATATCTGATTTTAGTTTTAATATATTCCGAAAAAAAAAACAGAGGACATAGCTTAAAGGGAAATTCAAACTCTCTCCCTCTATTTCAAGTTAATTATGTTCATTTATTTTATCTACAATACATTAAAAGAAATGAATAAATGAGCCATTTGGTCTACTCGATGCCATTTATGAACGGAATTCGTTTCTTTTCTTGTGAGAGAGTCAGCTCTTTTTGTTGATTCAGCTGACTCAAGCAGCTGAGAGGAAAACACATGTAACTGTAGGGAAAAATGGTTCAGTTTACGTCGACGTTTTAGCGAACGCGAAAAAGTAACAGTCTTTAAACGTGGCTTATTTTTCTCCTGTGTATGAACAAATGTATACGAAGTTGTCTAAACACTGAGCAACAAGGAAATCTTCGCTTTCAAACGTCTTTTAACAGAGATCTGATCACTTGACAAGCAAACAGAGACAACTTTCGCATTGTGGCAGACTTATAATCTCCCCACGTGTACATTGTAGATTAGCGTACCGTGGAATACATTAGCAATTATTACGGTTGACAAACGCTATTCAATAGCGCTGTGCCACGGCAAATAACGAGCGGCCGATTCAGTTTCTATCTTTATCATACAAGGTTGGCCTAGGTCGTGAATCACTGTTTAGTAACAACGGCTAGCGATATTAGTGCTTACAAGGCCGGAAAATTTTCTTCCCGTCATAAGTAAATCATCACTGTTGGAGAAGCGAATTTAATTGCAGATTATTTGAAGTACAATGCGCATATTGTCAAGATATGGTGTCGTTTTAGCTCTGTTATTATTTTGGAACATTATATGTGCGGAAGAGATCGACGACGAATTTGAAATAATGGATGGGATAAGAGTGAGAAAAGACTCAATCAACATTGACATGAACGATGTGGGCAAAAAAGGTAAAACAGAGGGAAAGCGGGAAACGGACGAGGATGGAAATGAGGTTATTGAAGACGATCAAGTTGATGATGATAATGATGATGACGATGATGATGATGATGATGATGTTAGTGGAGATGATAGTGAAGAGGACGACTTAGAATCCACAAAGCATCTTCCAACAAAATGTCATGGTAAGCTGGTAAAAACGGATAAGGGCAGCTGATTATTCATTGCAATATAAGGTGACTGTTTATTACTTGAGTATTTTTCAAAACGAAATTTTGTTTTTTTTGGAAACTCAGCTTATCTTTAGAGTAAATTCAAGCGCTGAGGATATGATTGATCGTCACAGTTATACACACAACTTAAGCAGTCGTGAAATTAAGCATGAAAAATGTTCAGGCCTGAAAGGGATTCGAACCCATGACCTCTGGGATACCGGTGAAGTGCTCTACCAACTGAGCTGTCAAGCCAACTGGGAGCTGGTCCCATTGTGAGTTCGCAATATACCCGTAGATGGTGAAGAATACAAGTGAATATATGAAAGATCATATATTTGAACTGCGGAGAAAGATATGAAGATATGATTGTTCATCGCAGTTATATACACTACTTAAATTGTGTGTATAACGGGATGATCAATTATATCTTCATATGAGTTCTCCGCAGTTCAAATATATGATCTTTCATATACTCACTTGTAAAATCAAGTGCTGTTAGTTCGTGGTTGACTTTAAGTTTTGCTCCCAAATAACTTGAATAGTAATAATACTAAATACTTTTCTAGTTTGCAGGCTCCTGGCCGTAGAAGTTGAGAATAAACTGGCAAATATTGCGAGAATAAGGAAACCACGCGAAAACAATAGTCCGATTTATTACAAAGAGTAAGTAATTTTCGTCGATTTTTCCTTAGAACTGAAAATTTTTTTTGTACCATATACCTTGGCAAAATATGATTCAGTATAATTTAAATGGTTTTCAATTCAAGTTTTATTTTTTCACTTCAACTCCTGAGTGCTTCATCTTTTCTAACCGTTTATTTGTCAGGGAGATAGTTATGCTGAGGGTAACTGAAGACCTATGTGACGCCATGACAAAATATAACATCAGACCAAAGCTTCCCTTCAGATATAAACGAGGAGGTACGTATAGCTACCTGGAGAAGCGCCATAGTGCGTTAAACCAGGGTCTATTATAGAGGGTCATACTTTCCGCAAACTGCCATATTTTGCTCATTCGAAACCGCAGACCGCTTTCGTTTTCTCCTAAAACCCGAACCCCATCCTAATATTGGGACGATTATCATCATAACCGATCTTTTAGCAGTGCGTAGCAAATTTTTTTATTCCATCTGTCAGCTCAATAATCGTGTTTCTCCTCAGAAAGACCAATTTTTTTCTAAGCAAGTTGTTTCTAACTTCATTCAGTGACGTCACTAACCAGCGAACAAAGCGTTTTGTAGTCTAATGAGCTCTTCACAAACACAAAGATAGCTAAAGATATTTGAATGACTGCCACAAAAACACGCTAAAACCCAAAACCAAGAACAAAATTTATGATGGTCTGCGACTGCGCGTTAATTTCTTGACCGTAAACCGCCAGAAAAATGCGAATAGTCCGAAAACCGGCACTCAAACTTGGCTTAAGCCGCCAAACCGCGTATAATATGCCCTCTTAAACTAAAGTCTCAAAGACAAACTTGTTGAAAATGTTTCCGTTTTTTTTCGTAGTGAAAAGTCTTTACCGTAAACAGATTGATGAACTCACAAAAGATTCTCGCATTCAGAAATGGGTGTTTGCGACACCGGAAGTGGAGATTGATGATCCAACTGGTGAAATAAGAAGACTCAAAAAACAGGTAAACAAGACCTCTCTATCAGTCAACTCTAGTCCGGTTGAGGACGGAGAAGAGCGAAAAACTGTTATCCTACTACCAGACTCAACAAAAAATAAATTTGACGAAGATATCAGTTTTCTAAAGAAACTACTGAGCTACATTGGCAGGCAAGTAAAAGTTGCTATTTTATCAACTTGAAGTTGATAAAGGTATAATAACCGCCTTAGTGAGCAGGCCGGAAGCCGATATTTTGAGCGTCAGCCGTTACCGTCAGGGCAAAAGAGTTGCCGTGGTTACCACAATTCTCTCGTCTCTTCTCTTCTCACCGTCCAAATGTTAATCCTCCGTAGGAAAAAAGATGGCGACTGGTACATTTACCCGTAGTTCTCAGCGCACGAAAACCGTAACAACGTTCATAAAAACGTACAGAAACGTTATAAAATCTTCAACCCTAGGCTACGTAATGAACTTAGTGCAGGAACAAATATTGTAAATATTTGGCTTTCTTTGTGCCTTGAAGGCTCTGTTAGGTTCGCAAGGCATTGTGGTAAAATGTACAGCCACCATCCTTTTTCATACGGTGGATTCCCAAGCAATTTTAATGCTGCGCAAATGTGTATTTAAAGTTCTCATGGAAAAAATAATTAAGTTGTTGACAGAATGACATCATCAGCAACCTGCTTTTTCGTAATTTTAGTGTCACGATATGCTGGTGGAGACACAGAAACTTCTCATTCATTGGTTCATGAAAGCGCAGTCACGCGATCTAACCAAGTGGCTTTGTGCTAAGAGAGTACTGCTTGAGGACAATCAAGGTATCTGCCTTATTTTTGCTTTTCTCTATCTGTTATGAAGTTTCTTTTCAGTAAGTCACTTATCAGTTCCCCTCGTTTTATCTGTAATAGTTTATACACGGTAGTAAAAAAAAAAAATAAGTGTTATTTGCTTTTAGGGGCTCCAAGATCTATATGACACAGAACGGTTTCTTTTACAAGTCACAGTTGCAGGTCACTGGCAACCATGCAAGGGAGGTCTAAATGGGGATGCTAGAATCCGTTACATTTCTGGCAATTTCTCAGCTATCGGAAAACAGTTTAAGGTTCAGCCCATTTCCACCAGCTATGCGTAGCGTTTGCCAAACTCAGAACTGGACAATCAGCTAAAAGCTTCCATTGGTGGTCTCTCCGTAGACATTTCTGACCAATTCTCAACTATCAATTAAACACCATCTAGACCCTCGGTAAACGAACCATGCTTAACCTTTACAAACTCTTAAAGGACTAGCTATATAGGACCACCCCGTTCTATTTACATTGTAAGCAGTTCCCTTCTTTAAAAACAATACCGTCTTGTTTGTTCACAGACTGCCTTAAAATTGAGATGCCAAGAAGCAACAGAGTCCCGTCATTGAGACAAAGGAAACCAAAGGCAGAAAACAACAAGACGAACATTGCCTCTCACGAGGAACTTTGATTTAGATAGTGTTAGTTAGAACACTTTCGCAAATATGAACAAGTACTGATTTCTGAATTACCAGTTTCGTTTTCGTTATTTTTAAAGCTTTTTAAGAAGGGAAGGAGGTAGTTGTACAGAAACTACTTTTTCAACTACTTCATCAGCTAGTAGCGAGGGAGCGAGACGCAAATCCATGCGGTCACCTGAAGTATAAATTATGCTCTTAGCAGATTTCTACCATCACCCGATTCAAAATGGCCGTAACACTGAGTACTAAAACTTTAAACTGATATCAAAGAGCAATAAAAATCAAGGGGAGTTTTATTTCAGAAAAAGAGGAATATATAACAAATAAAAGAGAAATATTTATAAACAAAAAGTACAAAAACTGAAACCAAAATATAACAAATGCTTTCCGAAAATGGCTTCGAAAATTACTTATTATAAAAGAAAGCTAAAGGTCCTCCACGTCTTCTAAATTCGTTAACAAGTGATACAGGCGTCCTTGTTCCAGAAGTTCATCAAGAGTTCCCTGTTCAATAACACGTCCGCGATACATGAGAACTATCTGGTCAGCTGCTTCAACTGTTTGTCGCCGTCGAGTGAGTATAAGACAAGTTCTGTTCCGAGAAAGGATGTGTATGGCGTCATTTACAGCCTGCGGACAAAAAAACAGTTAATTTCATAAAATAGTGTACGTCCATATTTTTAATGTTGAGTTACCCCGTCAATATTAGCCGGCAACATCTAGAGTCTGTCATACAACAGAACTTGCTATCGTATTAAATTGTGTAAAAGTAGCGTAATCAATCAATGGCGGCACGAATCTTAAGGTCAACATTTAATAATAATAATAATAATAATAATAATAATAATAGTTCATTTATATGAATCACTGCATAGCATGGATCACTACATCTATGAATTTCCGTCTGACTGATTGTCGGACCAACTGACTGACTGACTCACTGACTCACTGACCGACATGATTGACTGACCATCCGGCTGACCGACTGACTGACAGACTCACCTGATCTTCCTGTTCCAACTCGTCAATCACAACGATTGCTGGTCCACGGATAATAGCCCGTGCTGTAGCGATCCTGAGTTTCTGACTGTCGGTCAACTGGATTTGATCTTCATTGGGGACTGTGTCATAGCCCTGAAACAAACATTCAAAAGCATAAATATCCCTGGAATAATATTCCTGAATGCTTCAGCAAACTGCCTAAGATTGTAGCAGAGCCTTTATGACCGCAGCAAAGGTCCAGTTTCTCACCTTTGTTAGATCCGTTATAAATTCATGTGCATAAGCTGAGTACGCGGCGTCTTCAATCTCGCGCCTCGTTATTTCTCTGCTGTTGTCACCATAAGCGATGTTCTCGGCAATACTACAATGTGGAAGAAACGAGCGATGGGACACCACTGCATGCCGGGATCGCAACCAAGAAAGTTCCAAACTGCGTATGTCCACACCATCCAAGAACTGAAATGTGATGCAAAGTTATATGCGTTCAAATTTTAGCGTTTCATAAACAGGTTTTATTTTTTCAAAACCTGAAGCAAAATGAAATTACATTACTTACCAATGCACCCTTGAAAGGATCAAAGAAACGTTCCAACAAAAGTTCAAATGGATTGATTTTTTCGTTGTCCAGCGGTACAATGGCTAATGTTTGTCCACTGCTGACCTTCACGTTTAACTGGCTCAACAATGGAGCGCCATTGTGTAGAGGGTCTGGCAGTTCCACATGTTTAAATTCCAAGCTTCCTTCGACTTCGTCCTTTGAGAAATAAATTACAACATGGTGACTTCAAATATTTAGAGACGTATTCATATTAGGAATTTTCTTATTGCCCGGCTGCAGGAAAATCGACCGAGAGAGATACATGGCAATGTTATCCAACAAAACTAACTACTTTTGCAGGAATCTGGGTCACTAAGTTGTTATTTGTTTCCACGTCCATTTTACGTTTACCACTGTGTGCAATGAGGGCTTCAAAACAAGTTCGAGATGACCCTGAGCGCCGTTTAATCGTGTACGTTGCCATAAAATAATTCTAAATGTAATTAATTTTTCTTTTACTGCTGGTGGAACAGAGCCAGGAGGAGATTGTCGCTCACCATCTTATCACCTATGTGATCTTCCACGTTTGCTGCCTCGTACTCGAACAATCTGTTCAGCGATTCTTCGGTGTCTTCATGCGCGTGCGGCGGTGCTCGCGAGTTGGCCGTAGCATAAGAACCGAACAACACTGTCATTAACACACTGAAACAAGAAAATAAATTATGCTGTAAGCCTACTAAATTATTTCTTTGTAAATCGGAGAACCTTGCGTTACGGTTATTTCTTTTTTGACCCGAAGACGGCTTAGTCAATTTTCTGAAAACCTCGGTTAACACGACTACGTCCAAAATACCCCATAATATACAACTAACGATCACCAGTTGGGACAGCGGACATCGTGTGTCAGTTGTGTTTTGAATCGATTGGGATCAATCATAATGACATCATTTTAAAGAAAGATTAGGTTACTGTAATAATTCAAATATATTCCGTTAATACGACCGACTGGGTATGGGCCGGCTTCAATGTTGCTGAATGCTAGATACCCTGGTCCACTTTGCGTCCGTCTGCAACAAAGCTTCTCTTTTCACAATTGGTTTCCTGACTAGGACCATTAATTATAGGAAGTACGACTGTATTTCAATTTCAAAGAAGGATTCTTTTTCCTGCAATGGATGCATAATGGCCAACTACAGTGGAAACGAAATCTGCTGCCTACCCCAAGACTTCAATAGCTGCCATGTCTCCTATGCTGATAAGGTAGCAACCGAACCTCAGTGCGCCTGCGTAAATGAAAAACACCATAGCTTGTCCAACAGCGAAGGCAAAACCACTGGCGATGACTTTCTTCAACGCATGCCTGTAAAAAAGAGCATAACAAATGTATAATACATTAAGTATAAGATCTGCTAAAAACGTGGTTGCTTTCCCAGATTTAACGTAGAAATTAATTATAAAACAAATATAAATTCTTACTTGTATTTTTCGAAGATAGCATCCTTATACTTCTTGGCGAACTTGTTTTCCATTCCAAGGGCTGAAATTGTTTCCATTTTCTTGAAGCTTGTTTTGAGCAGCTATAATTAATGTAGTAAAGGTCATTAACAGAACTGCTGTTTCTAAAAAGAGCCAAAATATGATTGCTTTTAAGCTGGCCGATCTATTAATAGCCGAATAATTTTTTTCTTGGACATCACCTCTTATCTTAACCTTTTTGCCTCTCAAAAATTTAATGTGTAATTAGAACAGGGTAAGTGTCTTAGCATGAACAGAAAAGAATTGTATTAATATTAAATTACAATTTCAAAACGGCAGAACCGATTTGTTGTAATGACGATTCTCTCTACTAATTCGAAAAAGCGTCGTGTGACGCGTTAGCGATGGCTACACTGCTACATGTTACATGTATTAAACACTCACTTCTTCAACTCCTTCTGATTCAACAGTAGCATCGGCTTCATTCTGCTGAATACGATTAGCCAGCCCAATGACTGGAAGTCCAGCTAACACGACAAGTGTCATCTTCCACCCATTGTACAAAGCCATACCAAGTGTGGATACGGACGAAAAGGTCTCCTGGACTCTGGTGCCAAGATATTTGCCTATGGACTGATTGGTAAGGAAAAAGCAAACTGAGGGAGTAGAATCGTTTAAAACGTGCGCACATCAGTTATCTCTTAAAAACAATTCTTCTAATGCTAAAATGAGTTAGGTTCAATTTCCATACAGGATGAGAGAGCTATGATATATACGAATAAGCCAGCTACAAAGCGAATCTGGAAATAAACACTACTCACGTTTTGCAAAGCTGCTTCTACATCCTTTTCAACTTGGCTCATGAGTAGGTCCGCCTGTTTTTGTGGATCTGGTAAAACCTTAAGTAAAGCAAAACTTCTTAGTTCAAAATCATAAAATTGTTTCTATATGCGTTCAATTTCAGAATCCTAAAAGAGTCCTGAGACAAAAAAGCCATATCAAACCAAAGATATCAAATCTTAAAGCGAGGTTGGAGTCTTCAATACAATCGCTTGCTATCCAACGTGACTTGCAAGAAGAAGAATAATTGAGGGTTTTTCCTTAGTTATATTCACAAGGATTTTTGCAGCCAGAACTCGTCAACACTTAGTTTATCGCTTTACAGTGTCGATTCGCATAGATCTATTCTTACCAAAAGGTCCTGGTTCGGCATATTTGTCGGGAGTCCCATTTCCTGCAGCTTTGTAACTCCCACTTCATCAACTGATCCTGCATATGGATTGGTAGGAATCACGGTATCACCCAAGCGTTGTGCTCCAGTCGGTATTGCAGTGGAGCTGGGAAATAATCCGTCTTGTGGTACCATACCAAAATTAACTTGTGAGCCAGGTATCATTGCCCTACCGGAAAAACCTATCGACGTGGAAGTTGGCACCATTCCAGCAGCTGGAGTTAAATCTGTAGGCATTCCTGCAACCTCTGATGACCCTGGTGGCAACGTACCAGAATTTACTTGTGGGTCAGGAATCACCGCCCCATAACCTCCCATTCCAAGGCCAGCTGTACCAGGAAAATCTATCGCTGTGGAAGGGGGCACCATTCTCGCAGCTGATGTTATATCTGTAGGCATTCCTAAAACCTGTGGTGACATACCAGAATTGATTTCAGGAACTGCTAGAGGAACTCTGGTTCCCAGTCCGGGAATCTGGGGCATACTGCCTCCGCTTTCCCCAAATGATGAATCATGAGTTCCAGTTGGTAATTGACCAGGGTTCAATCTAAATACTGCTATTCCAGATTGACTAGACTGTGTTGGAAGACTAGGAAGGCTTATTCCAGCTCTCAAACCTGATGGGGTGATTCCGGTGGGAACGCTACCGGGTATTTGTGGCAGACCAGGGACTGACGGTACACCCGAAGGTAGACCAGCAACAGATATCCCTGTCATTCCTGGAGTAGTTTCTGAATTAGAGGGTAATCCCAAAGATAAAGATCCGCTATTAGATGGGACTTGACCGGCAGCAAATCCCGGCAATGACATCTGCCCTGTTCCTGCTAGGTTCAATGGAGTTAAACTAGTTGGCATTCTGGGAAGGCCTTGTGCCGTTTCCATGTTTGATGGTAAACCATGTTGCGCTAATCCCGGTGTAGATATCCCTGCTGAAAAGCTACCCGAGGGAAAGCCTGGTGTTTGAGGTGCAGCGGAAATGGCTCCAATTTCTGGTAACCCTGTTGAGACCATTTTAGGAAATCCTGGAGAAGATGGAATTTCAGATGGCAAATGCGGTGTTAAATTTCCAACTGCGTGCAGACCAGAAGCTGGTATTTGTTCAGATGGTAGCCCTGTGACTCCTGCAGGGAACATTTGAGAAGGGGCATTACCTATGGATGGTAACTGCGCGGTGGGTGCACCAGGAACAGTGGGTAGTCCCATCCTCATCGAGTGAGGTACACCAGGAAATTGTCCTCCGGCTCCAGGGAATACGGTAAGTGAGTCGCCTATCCCTGGAATTTGAGGAACTGAGTTCTGATTGAACGCAATATAATTTATCAGTTAAACTTTTAATGAGATCTGTCCATGAAGACAATTGAAATAAAATGACACTAACCTTGTTTATTGATGTATCAAAGGCCATTTTTTGCAGTCTTGTTCTCAACTTCTCAGTGGCGAAACTGAGCATAAATTTCTAAAATATAATAAATATCCACATCTATTTTTTTAGCCTAAATCACCTATAGCATTCAAAAACAAGACATATCCTATAAATGAACTGGCGATAGACTCCATATTTCTAGAAGATCGATCGCATTAAGTATGGAGATCATAAAGTCGGCTGAGTATACAGTCGCAAACACAAACGATGGCTCGCAGCATGCATCTGGGCCTTCCACTGAGGAAATAAATTCTTACCTCAATGGTGCCACCAAATCCAACTACGGCTCCTAACACAACAAACATGCTTGCCCAGAATGGCCCTTCACGTGCAACCCTCAGAGGATCATTCATAAACTAAGAAGACAAACATTCCATATAGTTACTACCTTTTGTGAAGCAGTAGTGAAGAAGAAAAGAAACCTACTTTACTGTCGTTTTGCGCAAGGAATAAACTCTACGATTAACCTTCCTAGCGGACTGAAACCTGAGAAAGATGTTCGGGGAATAACTTGTGAATCATGAACTCATACGATGTTGACTCTTCAGGGCATATTTATTAATTATGGCAACCAAGTAACAGTCATGTTTTATTCTGAGCATGAATTTATTTTCGTCAACCTTCCCCGTTTAGTTATTAACGAAAACACTTGCAAGAACTGGTCCTTGCGTTACAGAAGTATGTTTTTCTTATAGCAATGAAAACTCTTCTGTACACGGAGCGAAAAGCCCCATTTATGTAATTTAATTGATAAATGTTGTTACCTTTTGTATTTCGCCGAAAAGAAAAGAGAGACCTGGGGCGACCATTCCAGTGATAGCAGCTCCCAGAGCTCCTGTTAACAACAATGGTAAGTCCTGAAGCTGCATCCTTATCATGTTGTATGCGGACTTTCCGTCATTCAACTGAAATCAATTAAATGTTTCAAAAATCCCTTGAAATACTTTTAAAAGTAACTAAAACGTTATGTCTGGACAAATTGTATCACAACACCATTTTCATGCTAACTACATTTCCCTCCTAGCCATTCCATGAATATCTGATTATCAGAGAAATGTTTTCAGACAGCTGCCGCTAGTCATGCCTGAAAAAGCATTGATTGAGGCTAAGGAAAGCGCCACAAAAATATATACGGCCGAAGGTATTCCCACTATCCGTAAGTATATATTATGTCAAATTACCGATAAGCTTGCAAACCCAACACTCTCACTGTAAGTTAAGTCTGCATACGAGCCAAGTGGCCCATTAGGCCGGAGCATATCCCGGTTTCCGTGGCGTGAAGCGACTAGGAATTTCTCTACTCCCCCGTGCATGGAATGTTAGTGAAATTCGCCGGTACCCATTTATACACTTGGGTGGAGAGAGGCACTGTGAGAGTAAAGTGTCTTGCCCAAGAACATAACACAATGTCCCCGAACCCGGTCCACTCGAGCCGGAGTCGCGCGCACTAACCATGAGACCATCGTACTCTCACTGAAGAGTAGTCTTATGCGTTATGTAATTGATTTCTTCCACCCTTTTCGAAATTTAACTATATGCATATGATGCTTCATGGTCGTGTTAGTTCAAGTAACAAGCAATTGCTGAATGCTTTTGTCACCTTGTCTTGGATTATCTGACGGATTTTTGATATGAAGCCTTTTACTTGCTCTTTAGTCTGTTCCTGACTCTGATTTAAACTAGCCTCCAGTTCTTCGATGCCGTCTTTGACCGGCGGTGGCTCTAATAAGACTGAAACTGAATTAAAGCAAATAATTTCAATAAAGATCTTAAAAGTACTTTGTTTTAAGAAATTTATAGTGTACAATACTAGCCGTCAATCTCACCAGTTTTCATTAACCTCTCTTGGTGTACAGTCTGAGACTCAAAATACTGAAACAAAAACAAAACAAGCGATTATAAACTCTTTCTGTGAGGAAACGGCAGGTAAGTGAAGTCTGTTCTTGAACTTAATGGCTCATCCGGTCGGCTCTTATCTCAGGTCTCAGTAGCATGAAGCAGCTAAGAGTGTTTCCAGTCCCCTTGGATGGCATGCTAGACCACCACAGAGTGATCTCCAACATCTAATTCGTCGCTTTCTATTTATAAACCTTGTTCATGCAAGGGCTTAAACTGGGATCACCTCGTCCGACGTCCAGCACGCTTACCAAGAGGCCACCGCAATTCCCACAATTAACTAGATAGCGCTGAAGACGTTGGCACCTGCCAAGGCGGCAGAAAACCAGAAATCATTTGAAATGAAACAATTCTCCCCACAGGGTCTAAAATTCAAAGTAAACGAAGCACGTGGCCTGCTCTCGAAGTCTTCATCGGCAAAGTGTGAGCTAGCTGCTTTAAGTTTCAGATCATGTGACGAAAATTATTGCTATTTAAACCAACCCAAGGTCAAGAACGAATAGACGTAGTCTTACTTATTTGAAATCAGGTTTAACTCACTTGAAGTGTAGCTAAGTATCTGAATGCCCTTCCTGATAACATCAGTTCCTCAGGACTCCCCTGTTCAATTATTTCACCATTGTGAAGAACAATAATGACGTCAGCAATACGAGCTACTGACACGTGACTAGTTGAAATGACTGTGGTGCGACCTCGGCGAGCCTGAAACACAATATGGTTACGGAGCAGATGCAGTTTAAAACTTTGCATTGATTAATCAGTGTATTTAGCTTACGATTATCCTTTAGCAAAAGGTAAAATCGCCTTCTCAAGGTTACACCGTCATAAAAGCGTTTTCTTTTTTTGACACGCACCTGATCTAAGTAGTTCGTAAGAGCATTTAAAGCAGAGTTGTCCATGATTGACAGGTCTTCCTCCCACAGCAGTATCCGGGGCTTTCTGATCATTGCCCGAGCCAGCGCTAGCAAATGTTTCTGGTAGGATGTCAGCGGCGATCCGTCGTCGTAAAGCACGGTAGCGTATCCCTAAAGTGTAGGAGATACTTATAGATTTACACCTCAAATTTGCGACTTCGTTATTTCATGACAATGAAACAGACAGCCTTCAAGATATTTAGTTTCAACCCATATAAGTTATTTACCCTGCAGGTCGTAAGGCCTCGTAGAAAAAGGAATTTCCACTGCTGGTTGATTGCTGTAAAAATATTCAAAAATTCCTACTGTAGCTTACTTTTGGAAATGCTGTGATGAACTCGTGCGCCCCAACAGCCTTTGCGGCACGCACTATTTCCTTAAAAGTCGCGTCACCCTTTCCGTATGCAATGTTATCTGCTATTGAAGTGTTGAAGAACTCGGGTTTCTTGTGTACTATCCCAGTTTGTTGACGAAACCAGCGCTGGTCAAGGAAACGTAAGTCTTGTCCATCGAGCCTCACCTTTGTGTCAAAAATAAAGACAAACATAAGTACATGTGCTTTAAAATAAAGAAATTCACGATACCCTGAGAAAATTAAATAGGAATGATGCATCAGGCCACCGCATGGAAGAAAGGTTGAAGTCAGGAGAAATTTAGTCTTTTTTTGTGAACTCGTGACATAGGCATGCAATGCGTGCAGAGAGCCGTTGAGAATACATTATAGTTTTACAGTCTTACTTTCCCAGTCTGTGGATCATAAATTCTCTGCAGCAATTTTATAAGTGCACTTTTCCCGCTACCCTTGTCACCCAACAAGGCAATCGTCTGACCTTCTTCTACCGTGAAGTTAATCGACTTCAACACCTGTGAGATGGAAAACATACAACGTATTGATTTCGTTAAAAAGACAAAGAGGACTGAATTATTCTCTATTCAAAGTTCGCCTAAATAAGAACAAAATTGATTTAATTCTTATGAGTGTTTTCTTGTCTAGAAAAACTACAATATTTAAGTTCCTCATTACAGACCAAAATTAGGACGAACTTTAACATTTAGTTGAACAATAGGAAGTAAAGTGAAGCAGCCAAACGTGCCACTGTGCGTCTAAACATCATACCTGATATTCGGGTCGGGAGGGATAATGGAAGTAAACATTGAAAACATCCAGTTTACCAAACACTGTGTCAAGTTGACTGGTAGCCTTGTCAAATGGGTCTTCATCAGCCTACGAGAAAAAAAATGTATATCTTTGTTGCCTCTGTTGCATCTTTGGCTCCATCATTGCTGTTTTCGGGTTGCCACACAACGCTCAGGAGAGTAGCATTTCGAATCAAAAAATATACCATAAAACAAAAGATCTTACCGACTCTGAGACTCCGAGCAGAGATGAAAGCGCTGTTCTGGCGTCACCGACGTCTTCCACTTGCTCTCCGGTTCCTGCCATTTGCATCACTCCAGAAATGATCGCCATAAATATCTTTATTGAACAAAAGGGACAAGTCAATAGAAATATAAGGACCGCAGTGCGCATTAAGCACTTCAAGACATCGCCCTGGCCGGGGATATTTTGTTTTGTTCTTGGGCAAGACATTTTCACACACAAGTGCCTCTCTCCACCCAGGTGTATAGATGGGTACCGGCGAATTTGATACAGGGTATAACGTAAGTAACCCTCTTATGGACTAGCACCCATCCAAGAGGGAGTAGAGATACAGGAAATAACCGCCAACCTGTTGCGCCACTTTACCAGAACACGGACTTAACCGAATACATCGTTTCCTCTAATATGTCGGAAAAAATCCGTCTTTGACCGTGCCGAATTTAAAATGACTTAGCAATATAATTAGGGAGATAAAACAACGTCTGGCGTATAATAATCAGCGAAAAAAGAGTACTTGAGGTATACTATGTGTACTTCATCATTAAAACTTGAATAAGCGAAAAAACAAAAGTAGCAAACGAAAGAGAAAACAAACATGCAAAAGAACTGACCGTCATCAAAGCTCCTGGAGTCACATTTCCTCCTGGTAATAGAGTGGAACTGTACCTAGATGAGATTTTAGCGGAGATTCCATTAGTATCTAACACATAAACGTTAGAGAATTGAA